CTTCATCTGGAAGCTCATCTGAAACCTGTCCACCATGGGTGAGCCTGCTGGTATTTAAATTATCCATGGCATAGCTTCCAGAATCACAGCAGCACTCAAGCTACCACAGTACAACAAACTGTGGTGGTGAGTTCATGTGGGTATCTTCATTTCCCTCTTCCATCTGCTCCTCCTCTCATACCTCATGTCTCTTTAAATGACAGCACAACCCATCTGGATGCTAAAGTCAGATAGCTGACCTCCCTCCTTGAGCCTCCATTTCAGTCCTCATATCTAATCAGTCTTCACTCCCTACTGTCACTCAAACATTGTCCCTCCTCAATTCTACCTTAACTCAGATACTCATCATTTCTCCATAGATGAGGACTGGCCTTCTACCATGTCTTCCTACCCATAATACTGCCCCTGTACAACCCAATTTTTCAGAGCCATAGGGACCTTTCCAAAGACAAAGTTTGTTATGCCATTATTTTGCTGAAAATATTCTAAACTGAAGTAAAGGCCTTCTAATCTAGTTCCTGTCTATTATTCAAATATGTTTGTTTCCTTTTCTCCTTTCTTTTCCTACTCTTCAGCTATAAATACAAGCCAGCTGCCATCAAGTTAACTCCAACTCACAGTAACCCCTTGTATGTTGGGGTAGAATTATGCTCTGTAGGGTTTTCAATGGCTGACATTTTTAATAGCAGATTGCTATCCCTTCCTTCTGTGTCATCGTTGAGTGAACTTGAACCTCTATCCTTTAATTACCAGATGACCCTCTTTACCATCTGCATGACCCTGGGATCCAACCCACTACAGCTACGGGATCCCTCAAATGTCACTTTTCATTTCTCCATGCTTTTGTATCTGCTTGAACACTCTCCTGGAGTCCTGGTGTGGCACTGTAGGATAATTAATGAAATACAAGGTTGGATTGAACCACAAGGTCAGTGGTTCAAATCCACCAGTTGCTTTTCAGAAACCCAATACAGGATCGCTATGCATCAGAACTGACTCAGCACAACAACAACAGTATTCTCTCTGGAGTCCTGGTGTGGTGTGTAAGATAAAGCATTAGACTGCTAACCATAAGATTGCTGGTTCAAACCCCCCAGTCACTCATTGGAAACCCTATACAGGGTTGCTATGAGTTGGAACTGACTCAGTGGCTTTTAAACAATAATAGCAATACTCTCTCCACCACAATATCCATTTCTAGTTTATTTTTGCTTATCTTTCAAAACTAACCTTCCTCCAGGAAGTTTCCCCATGTCTTGTTTGGGTGAGTCACCGTCCTTGGTAATGGTCTGGGGACTTACCAAATATAGTATATAACTGCTTACCTCTCTTTCCCCAATAGACTGAGAGCTCCTTGAAGGTTATGACCATATCTTTTCACCTGTCAGTTGCCAGAGTCTTTCATAGAGCCTGGCTATTGTATGTCTTCAGTAAAGGGCTGTGGATTAATTAAATAAGTAAAATACTCTAGCATGAGGTCATATGTTCCTGTGTAACTTCTTGTTGGAAACCAGCCTGGATTAAGGTTACAAAGAAGCAGATATTACTGAAATGGGAAAACTTGTTCAAGCAGAGGCACAGAATCAGATTTTTAAGATGCTGGTCAGTTAGACTAGGTTATTGGAATGTGCCTCTTAAAGGCAAAGAAGAAAGTCTCAACAATTGCCAACTTCAAAATAGCAGCCTCTAGGGACAGACAGTTATGTGGGGAGAGCCCTGCCCTGAGAACCTACAGACAAAGACTTACAAGGGAGCAAAGGCATGTGTTTAAGGATATAACAATCCTCTTAGATGTAGGTTCAAAAGTTTCTATCTGGTTTGTTGCCAATAAAGAAAAAGGAGCTTTTCTTCCACTATTTTAGTTTTGCAAATTCTTAATGTGAGAATACATAACAAGCCCCTAAAGATCTGATCAGACTTATACCTCAATTATGTTTTTCTGTCTGTGTTTATGAGTCTTAATAACACACTTCATATCTAGCTGGAAATGTTTGCCACATTTTAGCTTATCAGTCACACAAACAATTCCAATACTACTACTTCTGCGTCTGTCCATCTTCTGCTGAAACATTGCCTCCCTGAGCCCTATTTGCTTTGCTTTCTACCCAGATCTCTCTAGTCCATACCAAAAGTACACATTTTAATGCTGTTTCTCTCCATTGGAAATGGTATCTACTGATGCTAAACCATAGCCAGGCCTAATGATGGAAAACACTGCAAACAGTCTGTGCTAGACAGAAGACTTAGCACTTAGCTTTTGGCTCCATGGCTTAGTTGAATCACAAAGTACTCTCAATATGGGAATTGATGAAAACACAGCAAGTATTGGTTGTGCAATCAAGTAGTGAATAGAAGGGTTATCTAACAGCTCTCCACCCTAAAGGGGATTGTCTAGGGTTTCAAATTGACCCTAGGGATAGGAATTCTGACAATTACCAACCCAGTTGTTGAATGTCTTTCAGCCACCCTTCCAACAACCCTCTCTAGGAAAAATGTGCTTACTGAAAAACTGAAAAAAGCTGCTCAGTTGCTTATGTCTTCTATCTTAAAGTGTGGAACTTATTAGTATTTTAAGGTTTCCAAAATTGAATATGACTAGATACATTTTTGGAGTCCTGGGAAGGTGTTGTGGGTTAATGGACTCGATTGCAAGGTTGGTTTGAACCACAAGGTTGGTGGTTCAAGCTCACCAGCCACTCCTTGTAAACCCTATACAGAGACACTCTGAGTCGGAACTGACTCAATGACACTTAACAGCAACAACAACAGATATATTTTAGGAGTCACTGGGTGGTGAAAATGGTTAAGCACTTGACTACTCGCCAAAAGGTTGGAAGGTTGAACCCACCCAGAGGACTCTCAGAAGACAGGTCTAATGAGCTGCTTTCAAGAGAAAACCCATGGAGCAGTTGTACTCTGCACACAGGGGGTTACCCACAAGGCGGAATCAACTCCTCAACAATTCACAGCAAAGAGGAACCGGTTGCCACTGAATTGATTCCAACTAATGGTGACCTTATGTGCATCAGTGTAGCACTGGGCTTCATAGGGTTTTCAATGACTGCCTATTCAGAAGTGAATGGTCCGGCTTTTCTTCCAAGATGACTCCAGGTGTACGTGAACCCATAACATTCTGATTCGTAATTGAGATCAGGTTTTAATACTGCAATGCATTAAAAAGAATAACCAATTTGACTAACACGTTGAGTTAGCTTCCCCTTCTTTCAGTCGGGCACATCACCTCTCTTTCCATTACTAAGATTCAGAAACTTGGGGGCCATTTTCATTGCTCCTTCCCTCAGTCATACAGTAATCAAGATGGAAAGATTCTCCTTGTACTGCACTTTTCCTTCCCATCTCTTTCTCTGACTATGCTTGTGGTCCTCTGAGCTCTTAATCTTACCCAGATAAGTAAACTCAAAGCCGGATGGACTTGCTCTCAACCCACCCAACAGCACTGCTCATTTCCCTAAAGCTCATCTCAAATCATGTCAGTCCCCTGCTCAAAACTTTTCTAGAGCCCTTTGTTGTTGTTGTTGTTATGTGCTGTGAAGTCAGTTCTGACTCATAGAGACCCTGTACAGGGTTTCTGAGGCTGTAAATCTTTACAGGAGCAGAAAGCCTCATCTTTCTCCCGCGGAACAGCTGGTAGTTTCAAACTGTTGACTGTGAGATTAACAGGCCGATTTGTAACCACTACACTACCAGAGCACCTTCTAGAGTCCTTTACTGTCTACTAAACCCATCCCACATCCCCAGATTTCCAGCCTACCTTCTCTGCCTTATATTTCATTCTTCCAACTAAGGGTATATATTTGCAGTCTTACACTTTGTGTTGTTGCTCACACTGCTCCTCTCACCCAAGCCTGGTTTGATTCTGGCTTTGTTTTCTCATTTCTAAAAAGAGGATAAACAATTTTAAATATTGCCATCAAGTTGATTCTAACTCACGGTCATCTTCACGTGTTGCAGAGTAGAACTGCTCCATAGGTCTCCAGAGGAAGCAGATAGCCAGGCCTTGATTCTGAAGTACTGCTGGGTGGGTTCCAACTGCCAACATTTAGTTTAGTTGTTGAGCACAAACCATGTGCCCTACATAGGACCTACGCACGTACTTTATAGGGTTTTGTGAGGATTGCCGGTGTCCTAGTGGAGCCATGGGTTAAGCATAAGGCTGCTAACTAAGGTCCCATTCAAAACCTAATCTATGGAATACAAATGAAATGAGGCAATCTGCTTCTGTAAAGATTTGCAGCCTTGAGGCAGCTCTAGCCTCTCCTCTAGGTCGCTATGATTCAGAAATGACTGGAGGGCAGTGCATTTGGAGGATTACCTGAGGTGTGGCAATGTAGAACAAACACCAGACTGCTAAATGCAAAGTTGGCAGTTCAAACCCACCAGCTACTCATTGGAAACCCTATACAGGGTCACTATGAGTTGAAACCAACTCAGCAATATTAAACAACAAAAACATACATATAAAACCCTTAGAAGAGCCCCAGCACCTACTAAGTATTCAGTAAAATGTTAGTGATCATTATTATAACTATCCCTTTTAAGGCCCATTTTAAATCCACATCTTTAGTGAATCCTTTATTAATAACCCAAATTAATGTCATTTCTTCCTCTTTTTGTGTTTCTTGGACTAGTATTTGGTATATAATGCCCTGTCTTAGAATTGTGTGTGACTATGTCTTGGCCTGTACTGGACTAAAATATCAGCAGTTAAGGAAATTTTTTCATCATTGTACACTTTGAAGAACTTTGCATAGTGCCTGACACATTAAAAGGACTCAGTAAATACAGGCTAATTTGAAAGAAATTGATTTTACTCTTTTTTAAACTGTGGATTACAAGCCATGCTGAGGGGAAAAAATAGCATATAAAGATAAGTGAATGTAACAAACAGCTTGATCACAGGATGCTACTGGTAAATGACTCTGAAATGAATGTTACTGGAATGTACTGATAACATCCTTTCCCCATGTTCTTCACTGCAGGTCTGCTTAGTGGCCTATCTTGGCTTATTTATGCTTTGTGTCTCATATCAAGTTGATGAACGGACATGTGTCCAGTTTACTATGAAAGTAAGTTGTGTTTTCTTTCTTTCTTTTCTTTCACTTTTATCATTACATAGAAAGAAACACAAGTTCAAAATAAAGGAATGCCTTTTAAGGGGTTGCATCTTTGATTATTTTAGAAATTACATTTTTATGCAAGCCAAAAAATGTTTTATGAGGGCATTGTTCCAGTCCCAAAGGTAATATACTGTTGTGTTGTTGTTAAGTACCATGGAGTTGGTTCTGACTCATAGTGATCCTGCACAGGGTTTCCGAGGCTGCAAATCTTTATGGGAGCAGAAAGCCTCATCTTTCTCCTGCAAAACAGCTGGTAGTTTCGAACTGCCGACCTTGAGGTTAGCAGTCCGATTCGTAACCACTATGCTACCGGTGCTTCTTAAAGATAATACTAGTTGCTATTTTTTTGTTGTTGTTTTTCCCCTTAAAGTCTTAATTTCCATGTCCTGGGCAGGGTTGGAACATTTGTAGTATTTAAAATCCTCAGCTTCTAACCAAAAATTGGCAGTGGTTTGAACCCACTAGCCACTTTGCAGGACAACAATGTGGCAGTGTACTTCCATCAAAATGGACACCTTTGGAAACCGTATGGGCTCCTCTACTCTGTCCTTCCAGGTTGCTATGAGTCGAAATCAACTTCATTGCAGTGAATTTGGTTTGTTTTTTGGGTTCAATGCCCTTAAAAAGGATATTGAAAATTAATCAGTTCAACAACACTTGGCCAGGGAAAACGTTTCTATAGCAGTGCCCACTACCATATCTTTGGATATATTTAGAATATTTCTAAGAAAGTAGTCTAAGTGTATATCCTCTTGTAGGTAGGGTGACTGAGACAGAAAAATCACATTGGGTGCATCTAAGCTTTCTGTGCCAAAACTGAGAGGGCAAAGGCTGGGGGATGGGAGGGCAAGAGAGGTTGAGATAACTATGGTTTGGTTTATATGTGTAAATGTGTGTGACTTTCATCCGTGTGTATTTTTTTTCTTTGCTAGGGACAGTTTGTTTGGCTGGAGCCAATTCAAGTACATAGCATTTTCACAGCATGGTAGAATCCACTCCAAAAGGAAAGATTGTAGTTGTTGGTAAGTGCAGTCAAGTCAGTTCCAACTCATAGCTACCCTGTATCGGGTTTCCAAGGAGTGGCTGGTGAGCTTGAATTGCCAACCTTATGATTTATACTGACCTTGCAGTCCAGCAATGTTAACCCATAGCACCATACCAGGACTCAAAGGGAAAGATAGACATACCCTCTAAGAGTATAAGGAGATACACAGTAAACTCAGCAATCAGAGTAGTAGAAATCAAATTTCTACCTTTCCCCTCAATTGTTGCAGTAGAAAACAAAAAAATTTTCTGGACCTTTTTTTGTGTCTGTGCACTTTTATAGGGTTTCCAAGGAGCGACTGGTGAGCTTGAACTACCAACCTTGCAGTTCAAACTGCTTTGCAGTCTGGCACATGAATCCACAGCACCACACCAGGACTCTAATTTCATATATAGGTCTGCCGAAACAGCAAGGCTTGGTGAATTGAAAAAAGAAGAAAAAAATCCAGAAAGCCTGGTAGAAATGGCCTATTAAATTACAGGAACTCCATTCACCAGGTTAAAAACATCCAAGATTACATTCATCAATTTATGTAAAATACCCTCATTTTCCCAAGGATGATCCTAGGAAATAGCAGTGGTAAAAGCATCCGTTTCAGAAAGGCCTCCAAAGCCATCTCAACACCTGCACGTTAGTTAAAATAAGACTAAGAGCAAAAAATAAAATAAAATAATATAAAAAGCACTGCCAATGTCACACAGGTTGAGAATTCCCCACCAGGAAGATCTCATTAGTTACTGTCTTCTTCTCTTTTTTTCCCCTCACCTGTGACAGACATTGACAAATACTGAGGCACTTTTCTCTTCTCCTGAATGTGACCTTTGGTGATGCTGGCTGCCAGCTCTCTAAGGTGCACTCTATATTATCTTCAGACCGAAAATGAGCTTCAGTCAACCTCGGAGTTTTCCAAAGGCACAACAAATTACAGCTGACTTCTCTTGTGCTTCTCACCCGGGGTGGCGGTGGGGAGAATACATTTTGAGGTGTTTCTCAACAGTTTAATTGCATTTTGCTGTCCCCATATTGGTACCCTTGCCTAATCGTTGTTTGAGAATTGATTTCCTCCTGTTGAACTTCTGAACTGCAGAAGTCATCGTTTGGATATGGCAGAGCACACACACACACACACACACACACACCACCCCCTTTTTCTTAGGGATAACAGCCACAGGGTCATTTCCTTTTCCTCTCAATCTTCTCCAGGGCCCCTTGGCAGCCCTGGATGCAAAAGCGCAATCCCTCTACCTCTCTGTGCTGTACCCCTGGGCTTGGCAGGCTTTCAGCCACAGATTGGTCCTGCTGTGTTTCCTCGTGGACCCGCTTTCTCTGGGCTCACCCTGATTTTCAGAAACATGTCTGGCTCATGTGCTTGCGGCAACATTTCAGGGCACATTAACCTTGAGGACATTTAAGGCAAAATCTTGTGCCCACATCCAGGAGGCCCTTAGGCTGCTTCACCGCATGCAGCAGAAGCGCCCTTTCCATTCATGCCACTGAGGAAGATAATTAAATCGAAGCAGACCAGCCTTCTTACCCAAGTCACCCTGGTGCGTTAAAGCTGCAGTCGGGTACCAATTAGAGGAAGCCGGAGCAAGCAAAGCACCCAAGCTGCAGCCGCCGAGACGCGCGCAACCACGCTGAGGTTACATAAGCGCAAGGGACCTCCTTGCCTGCGCCGGCCGGCCCACCGCCCACTGCGGAGAGCGCAAGACTGATGAGCTGACACATGCAAGACAAATGCGTCCTGAGCGGGGTTTTTTATCAGATATATTTGCTCGGATTCCCAAGGTCGTCGTAAACACTTTCACTGATAGTTTATTCGTGCTGTGTAGGTAAAACAAGTCACTTGCTTTTAAATAACAGATTCTAACCCAGAAGCTTGGAGTCCTGGTGTGGCGCTGTGGGTTAATGCGTCAGACTGCAAAGTCATTTGAACAGCAAAGTCGTTTTAATTGTAAAGTCTGTGGTTCAAGTTCACCAGCTGCTCCTTGGAAACCCTACATAGGGTCTCTATGGGTCGGAATCAACTCCACGGCACTTAACAACAACAACAACGCAGAGAATTAAACCCTGTAAAGGAAAAATGCTATAGCGCTGCAGATGTGGCCCACAAGCTTTGGGTCATCAACTATATATTTATAGGGTAGCGCAGTGATTACGAGTCGGGCTGCTAATCTCACGGTTGGCAGTTGGAAACTACCAGCTGTTCCGCGGGAGAAAGATGAGGCTTTCTGCTCCGGTAAAGATTTACAGCCTCGGAAACCCTGTATAGGGTCACTATGAGTCAGAACAGACTCTAGGGTAAATAACAACAACAACAACAAGATGGATAAGAAACTTGGATCTGTGGCTCACTCCTGTTTACTTTCCTGGTGCTTTCACAGCGTGGGAGAAGCGTACTCACCATAAGCAAGGTGCCCACCAATGTAAATTTATTCATCTTCCAAGACGCTATTGCTGTTTCCTGGAGTCCTGATGTGGCGCCATAGGATAAGTACTCAACCTCAAGGTCCTCACCAGCCACTCCACAGAAACACTATACAGGGTCGCTATGAGTTTAAACCGACTTGACAGCACTTAACAACAACTACATTGCTGTTTTCTAGCATGTTTAAGATGTTCAATTAAAACCGAGCAGTCATTGTTTATGTAATTGTTTATATCTTTCCTACAAGCCCAGGATGTTTTGTTAACCACACGTCAGAGAAAAAGACAGACGGTATCTTTTATATCCTAACAGCTCTTTCTGTCTCTCCTGATATATTTATTTATTTCACAAATAAAAAGCATTACTGAGTACCGGAAACTACTATAAACTGTTTATAAATATAAACTATTTTGTTGTTTATAATAATCCTATGAATTAGACACTATTATGACCATCATTCCAGATTTACAGATGAAGAAACAGGTACACAGTGACATTAATTTTCCCAAGGTCCATAACTATGGCAGGAAGGACGAGGAGAACCTAGGCAATTTGGCTTTCTGTCCATGACCTTACCCATCACTCAGTATCGCTGTGCTCTTGTTAAATGGTCACAAGCAAATCTTTTGGTCTCTGAGTCAAAATGTCATCTTTTAAAAAGAAACAAAATTCCCATTTCAACAAATGGATTTTTGTAATGATCATAAGAGAATAATACTTCTTTGCAGTGCTTTTAATTATTTGTATATTGAGACAAAATACGAATTATAGGAGCAATCTTCCTTTGTAGAATTCATATTTATCAGAAGCATACAGGGTAAGTGTTGACTATGCTAATGTAATCTTTCACTAAGAATTGTACTGAATACACATCCCCCTTCCTGGGTACTCTATTTTTTTTTTTTTTTTTAATGACTTCAGAGGTAGGAAATATTGATAGAAATGTGTTCAGTAGATGAGTCCAATCCAGGAACATTTCTTGTAAAACAGATTTTATTGTGGCATGCCAGTGAATCCCATAATTTTTTTTTATCAAAGTAGTTCTGGCCTAGGCTAAATAAACCAGTTTCGGGGATTTCTTAGCCATTTAGTTAGAACTGTAACCAGGCTTTTCCAATCCCAAAATCAGTATGTAGAACAATGCTTTAGTTCCATGATCAGGATACAACTGCTTGTGGTTAGATCTGGAATGAGATTTATAGGAGATGCAACTGGCATCAAGTTGCAAAGCCTTCTGGAACCATACTTTTTGTTTTTCTCCCCAAAACTACTTGGGATCCTGGGCACAGTTTGTCAATCAATACATTGAATATAGTACTTTTTAGTAATTTGTTTGCTGATTAGCCAATCCTTGTTAGTTTTGGCCAACAGGGTATTAGCACTACAGAAACCTCTTCTTTACTTCCTAGTCTTGTTTCAATCTTAGTATCAGCAATTTCTCAAGATAAAAATAAGCTGAGCATGCCTTTTAAGACTGGCTGTCTTATTTGGGATTCATGCTTACTACATTCTTACAGAAGCATCCCACATCAAACTAATATGGTTGGCAGAATTCATCAAAAATACTGTATCCCAAATGAAAATGTGATCAGAGTTTAAAGATTGCTCCCTAATAAACACAGAGCCATATCCATGTCTTGGGCACTCAATTTTGGAGGACAGATGGCCTTTCATTAAGGAATTTCCAGGGAGAGAGAAGAAAAAAGAACAGTTTTTGTTAATTAGCCTTGTAAATAGTCATCCAATGTTCTTTGTAACCAGAAAGATTTTCTTCTTCTTTCTTACAGCTGTTCTACTTTCTGCTGAGTGCCCTCGCCTTGATGGTCTGTGTGCTGGCCGTGGCGTTTGCCGCACACCACTATTCACAGCTCACACAGTTTACCTGCGAAACCATCCTAGAATCCTGCCAGTGCAAACTGCCCTCCTCTGAGCCACTCAGCAGGACCTTTGTTTACCGGGATGTCACTGACTGTACCAGCATCACTGGCACTTTCAAACTGTTCTTACTCATCCAGATGATTCTTAATTTGGTCTGTGCCCTTGTGTGCTTGCTGGCCTGCTTTGTAATGTGGAAACATAGGTACCAGGTCTTTTATGTGGGTGTTAGGATGTGCTCCCTCACAACTTCCAAAGGCCAGCAGCAAAAGGTCTAACATTCTTGCTCAGAGGTGGGAGAAAAATACAGCACAATGACTAGCTGAGGTTAAAAAAAGAAAGAAAGAAAAAAGACACAACTTTTGACAATGAATAATATCCATCACTTCTAAATGAATATGTCTTACATTTTTCTCAGAAAAAAAAAAAAAGTATTTCTTCTAATTTCTATAACATTAAAAAAAAAAATTGTATAAGGCAAGGAAGATCCAAATAGATTTTGGGGTATTAAAAGAACATGACATAGGGGGGACAATCTATCTTTATAGCCTGGAGTTTATTCCTAATACTCATTTTATAGTCTTCTTTCCTGTGGTCCAGTCTGATGGTATGAATTGACCTTTCAGGCCCACTTGCTAAATTTTAAAGTCTCCCTCCAGACCTCCACACCTTCTTCCTCCATTATCACTATGTCTTGGAGTAATGTCAAACATAGGGAAGGAACTGAAAAATGGGGTTGGGTCTCTTTATTTTCCCTGGTAATGATGTTCTCAAGCCTGAAATAGCTTGAAGGAGCAAAGGAGAAAAGGAACAGCCTTTCCAGGAAGGGAAATGATTATGAACACCTGGGCTGGGGTGGAGGCCTTTACTGTTCTGCTGTCTTAGTTTGGCACTGTAAGCAGATCACTTATTTATTAAATGATTTGATGCTTATCTGGTTCTCCATCATTGAAAGGTGGTACTAGTTGTAGTCTTAATGATGTAGAAGGTTTAAAAATAATTACATTATGCTTCTATTCTATTGTATGAAACAAATCATTAAAACTAATTTGTAGCTAATTGTTAATTATAATTATGCTCAGAAGTCTATTTAATGAGCCCTGGATGTATTTATGCAGCATAGCCAGTGTTAGTAGAAATTACTCTCATAAGAGAGGAACCTAAATCTTCTTTCTTCTGAATGTCAAGCTTTATAAGGAGGGGGCGGGGGAACAGCTCAGGTTAAAACTTTCATTTAAACAAGAGCATTTATAATGGAAAATATTAATAAGACCGCACATTTGTATTATGTTGAAAAGTATCTCTTGTCAGCTGAGTATTTTGGTAGACAGAATAATGCTGACATGTTCAATTCACAAAACTATAAACACAAAATTCTGTTATTGATTTGTATGCATAACCTAGGGATTAGAGATGGTATGAAGCCTATTTTTGAGTAGCGTGTTCGTTAACGTGTATGGTAATTTGTGTTTAGTTTTCTTTTGAAGGGACTGACATAAAAAAGCACAGTGTCCTAAAATGGGAGACTTGTCTAGACCACTATTATAAAATTTGGAACAATATCATTATTTTAATAAATAGGCTTAAAATGGAAAGTCATATAACATAAATATTATCAAGTACTTTCTCTGTTAGTATGCTCTGCTAAAAGTAGAAATTGAAGACAATGATTGAACTAAATTGGCCTCTCCATATTGCCTATTGATATACTTATTCATTTAATGTACTTCTACCCTAAAAGATGATTACTGGTGTGGTGCTGTGGGCTAATGCGCTAGACTACAAAGTCAGTTTGAACCATACAGTTGGCAGTTCAAGTCCACCAGTCTCTCCGCAGAAACCCATGCTGGGTTGTTATGGGTTCGAAACGACTCCACAGCATTTAACAACAACAGCAACAAACCTTAAAAGAAGGTTTACAATGTCTTACTTGCTTTAGAAATAGATGAATAATTTCATGGATTGTGATAATTTTGTAAATTTCCACACAATTATATCCCCATATGGAAAGGAAAATGTTAAGTCATTTAGCTGGAAGGCAGTAAATATTTTTTATGTCCTCAAGATAAAACACCTTTATTAACAGATGTTAAAACTTGATGATGTTTTGACTTGCTTTAAAAATGGCCACATTAGTCCTGCCCAAGAAGGACAATTATGGAAGAGATTCAGAAATATGAGGTTTGATTAGACAGGGAAAAAAAAAATTACATCTGTGGAATGTCAATAATTTTAATGATGATCTGAAACATATTTTGTGCTATGTTAAAAAATCCAGATGAATGAAGCCATTTTGATTTTTGACTGAGTTTCCTATATAAAGCAGAAAGTGACAGAGAATCTGAAATGCCGTAGATTGTTCTTCAAAGTGAGAGCCTACTTGCTTTAGTGCTACTTACCATGAATCAGGAAATACTGAAAGTATACCTTGTATATCTTTAACAATATTTTATAGCACACAGTATGAACTTTTGTATTAAAATTTTTAAATACGACATGTCTTTAAGGTGCTTTGTTTTATCACAGGGTGTTTCAATAGTAGGATAACTTCAGCTTATGTGCTTCTTTTTTCTAAATAACATAACCAACAAGCGCTGACATGATACCAAGCTTGTTTATAGTCAGAATATACATATTAAGATTTAAAGGGGGCAGATTTTGTTACTTTTAAATCCCGAAAGAGAGGAAATGAGGGGGAAGAAAAAAAACACCACAAAAGTAAATAGAAGGAACAACAACAACAAAGAAAAAATCACAAAAGAGAACAAAAAGATTCCTGTGGTATGAACTCACTGTATATTGATATATGTAAGAATTGTGTTGCATGAATAACAAGCTGCTTTGGGCTGGATTTGAAGTATTTTGATGTTGTGTTTAGCAAATATTGAAGTTACAATAACGGCAACAGAAAAGGACCAGATACACAGCTTTACACTTAGCTAAATGTTACATTTAAAATCTGACAAGGAGCCAAGATGGTGATTGTCTCTTCTAAACCATAAAACAGTAAGATTTGCGCAATTCTCCTACTCTTCCACCTCCTTCAGAAGAATTAAATGAATCGAGACTTTGGAAAGAGAGGGAACAACCAGGACTTGGCAGTACTTGAAATAGGAGGAATACAGCAGCCTAAATGTACAGACTTTGTAACTGAGCCCACTGGATCGGTCTGTGCCTTCACGTGACCACCATCTGTGCCTCCTTCACACCATCCAAATTTGTGTAGGCGGCTCCTTGGAGCCAGGCCTAAAAATATAGCTACACCAAGGCCCTAGAAACTGTAGTTAAGTAACAGGCCTAAAAAGTTTTTCCTCCTTGGATTAAAGTCTGTAGTGTAATCTCTTCTAAGGGGTCAACTTGTTGTTCAGCAGAGAGAACCCATTGTCTATGTGTTTTCTATTCATGTTCAGGACATCAGAATTTTTTAATATTCTTGTATCTCCCTTGTGCTTGTAGTATATTTAGAAAATGTAATCTTTTCTTGGTCAAGGTTCAGGTATCAGGTCGGGTTTAGGGAGAGTCTGAGGGACAATAAAGATATGCATAAAATACCTTAAAATATACCCTGGTAAAACAATTTCCTATCATGAAACATGCTTTTATATGTTCAAATTGACTCTGAACTGTTGCTATGTAGATATAAATTTATGTAAATCATGTTAGCAATTAATTTTTACTGCATTAAAAAAATTCTAACAAGTTTTCATATGTATACTGTATATTCAGGATAGCATTGTGAAGAATTGATGGCCAAGCATATTGACTAACAATGGAAAGAGTTGCTTGGATGAAGACCTAGTGGCTCAACCTGTGAAATAAATACCTTGATTATTGTCATCTGATTTTCTAGTACTTTATTATCTCAAATTATTATCCCCTTTATAAATATTGGTCTGTACTTTGGTATTGTGGTCTTATTTTCCTGAAACTGATGTAATTATGAATAGAAAAACAAGTGTTTCCTACATGTTTAAAGTGGCTGATTTAAAAGGGGATGTGTATAATGCAAAATGTCTTTGTTAATAAAACTTTATTAATCTCTGAAGACACTGTGTTGAGTGTGCTTTACAATGACTAGGCATTTCATGTAAACTGATGTACATAAAAATCGCTCAGATGAGTGTCTACTAGGAAAATCTGGATTTGGAGTAGACAAAAACTAATATTCATTTTGACTCCTTTGTTCCAGTGACTCTCTCTGGTTGGGTACACTGCACACATACTAGAAATCAGAGTTGCAAATGTTCTCCAGATAAACAAAGTCTGAACTGGAAAAATACTGTGAAGGTACCTGGAATGGAGTACTGATTCATTTATATGTATACACACACAAGGGGGCTTCAAAAGTTTGTGGAGATGTTCCATTATCTTTTCATTCCATTTCCTCAAACTTTTTGAAGTCCCATTGTGTGCATGTGTGTGTGTGTTTGTGTGCATGTGTGTGTGTGTATGTATGTATGTTTGTTTGTATATATATATGCTATTGTTAAGTTCCAAGGAGTGGGTTCGGATTCACAGCAACTCTGTATATGGTTTCCAAGGAGCGGCTGTAATGTGCTAGACTGCAAGGTCAGTTTGAATTGCAAGGTCGGCAGTTCAAGCTTACCAGCTACTTCTCGGAATCCTTATACAGGTTTGCTATGTGTTGGAACTGACTTGGTGGCACTTAACAACAACATATATATATAGAGAGAAATATAGATGTGTATACTGGTGGTAGGTTTCAACCACCAATCTTATGGTTCACAATCCAGTGCTTATCCTACACCAGGACTCCATATATGGAGGGGTTCAAACCCACAAGCTGCTCCTTTGAAACCCTATACATGGTCCCTAGGAGTCAAAAACAATTTATGACACTTAGCACAATCATAAAAATAATACAAATATAACACCACCAAAATGTCTCAGAAGCAACACACAATTTCTGTACACACAAAGAAACAAAGTGGAGTGGCTCAAACAAGTGACTAACAGGCAGAGATAAAAAGCTTTTTGAGGAAAAAAAGGCATTAGATCTACCTGAATAAGAATTCAAGAGAATGATATTTTGGTACTTCCAAATGATTGACAGAATGGTCTAGAAAAACAAGGAAGAATTCAGAAAACCACTACAGGAACAAGAAACAAAATAGATAAAGGATTGTAGGCAATATAAAACCTGAAAATAGAAGTTCAGAAGGTTAATACTAAGATTTTAGAAATTGAAAAGAAATAGAGATTTGAATTAATGAAATCCTGAATTAGTGAACTTCAAGATAAATCTCGAAATACAAGTAAACTAGAAGAAAATCAGGAGTCCAGATGTGGCAATATAAGATAAGCTTTGCTAGCAACAAGGTCAA